CAATAATGTGGAGATTATTTTTATTAATTTTGTTCTTTTAAGTCGGCTTTTACTTATTACATTATGTCTTAGCACCGACTTGAGAAGCAATAATGTGGAGATTATTTTTATTAATTTTGTTCTTTTAAGTCGGCTTTTACTTATTACGCTATGTCTTAGCTAGTGATGTGAAGAAGTGTCATATCGGAAGCAGAAACGGAAACAGATGTTAAAAATAATTTTTGCAGAAACGGAAACAGAAACAGATGCGGAAACGGAAAAAACGCTTATTAAAAAAATTACAAATAAAACTTTTAACATTCACAATTAAGTAGCGGTTAGTTCGGCCGCTTTTACACCTAACAATCCGTTCCAATGTTCTTCATATATTAGTCTAGCTCCGATAAATAATTGGTCACTGGCGATACTGCGTACCACCTATACACCAAAGCTAAATAGGCACTAAAATTTGGGCAAACCCTCATTTAGGTTTAGCGAGTAGGTAATTTTGTACGGCCCTAGCACGAAAATTGACGTAAATAAACTTTGAATCTTATTTTAACTTCACGCAAACATAACTGCTACCTAATTAATTTGCAAATCTAACTTGTAACAAAGGCATGTTTTTTTTTTTATAGAAGAAGGGGCAAACGAGCATGCGGCTCACCTGATGTTAAGTGACTACCGCCGCCCATGATCAACCGCAACATCAGGAGAATTGCGGGTGCGTTGCCGGCCCTTTAGAAAGGAGTAAGCTCTTTTCTTGAAGGTCCCCAGGTCGTATCGGTCCGGAAAAATCGCCGGTGGTAAACTATTCCACAGAGAGGTTGTACGTGGAAGAAAACTCCTTGTGAAACGTACAGTGGTGGACCGCCAAGCATCCAGATGGTGTGGATGGTATCGGGACGTTTGACGTGTAGTGCGTAGTGCACGAAATTTGGCGGCTGGGATTAATCCGAACAATTCCTCAGAGCACTCCCCGTGATAGATGCGATAAAATACGCAAAGAGATGCAACAGCTCTTCGCAGCGCCAGTGAATCGAGCCGATCGGAAAGCACTCGGTCGTCGACGATTCGAGCCGCTCTGCGCTGGATGCGGTCAAGTGGAAGAAGCTGGTACTGGGGAGCCCCAGCCCAGAGATGGGAACAGTATTCCATGTGCGGCCGAACCTGCGCCTTGTAAAGTTGCAGGCGGTGTGCCGGCATGAAATACTGTCCCGCTCTGCTGAGCACGCCAAGCTTTTTAGAGGCCAATTTGGCCTTCCCTTCCAAGTGACCACGAAACTGCACGTCACTCGATATGTCGACGCCGAGGATTCCGATACTGGCTGAGGCAACAAGGGGAGTGCCTTGAAACTGAGGGGATACGACAAAGGGGTTCTATTTAGCGGTTAACGCGCAAACTTGTGTCTTCTGGGGGTTAAACTGGACTAGATTTAGTCGCCCCCAATCCGAGACTCTGTCCAGCAGAGACTCGACTTCAGACACAAGTTTGTCCCGGCACTCGGAGACGTTTTCCCGAGAAATATTGGCTCGGCCGGTGTAAAGAGCATCACCAGTGCTGTCATCTGCATAGCAATGAATGTTACGGGTATGCAACATGTCATTGATATGCAGAAGAAACAGCGTTGGCGATAGCACGATAGCCCTGTGGAACACCAGCATTAATAGGCTTGCAATCGGAGCTTGCACCGTCTACAACGACCTGGTTCCCGTTTGGTGAAACGGCCAATGCCTCCCCCCTTGAACTCTACTGCCTCCGCCCATCTGTGAGTTAGGTAGACCAGAAGATCACCAGCTGACCGACCACGGCGAAAACCGTATTGGCGGTCACTAATCAGCTGGTGATCTTCAAGGTACCTCATGAGCTGGCAGTTTACAATGGACTCCATTGTTTTGGAGAACAAGGAGGTGATGGCGATTGGCCGGTAGTTGGACGGGTCAGAGCGGTCGCCTTTTTTAGGGATCGGGTGGACGTAAGCCGTCTTCCATGATTTTGGGACTACGCCTAGGGAGTAGGAGTACCGGAAAAGACGCGTTAAAACCGGTGCCAACTCTGGAGCACACGTCCTCAGCACAATTGGGGGGATTCCGTCAGGCCCACTCGACTTGTGGATGTCCAGGGAGAGGAGTGCTTTGCGAACCGAGCGCTGTGTGAAGTGCACTTCCGGCATGGAGCACTCACACCGCGGGATGGTCGGCGGAGTACTCCCCCCGTTACCGAGAGTTGAGTTAGACGCAAAGAAAGAGCCTAGAAGATCGGCTTTCTCCTTTGCGGTATGGGCCATTGAGTCGTCCTCCCTGTGCAGAGATGGAAGAGATGGCTGACAGAAATTCCCCTGGACAGCCTTGGCGAGAAGACCAGAATGCACGGGTTCCAGAAGGAGGGCGAACTAGTTTCTCGCCAATTCTGCCTATGTGCTTTGACTTTGCCTTGGCAATGACTCTTTTGAAGGACCTAGAGGCGGAATTATACTTCTTTTTTAGAGCGCTGGTGTTTACATCCCGGGACGCTGATGCATTAGCCCAGGCTTGGTAGCACTCCTGCTTATAGCATGATGCTATTTTACAGGAGCGACCAAACCATGGCTGAGACTTGCCTCCAATGGGCACCACAGAGGAAGGAATAAAAAGTTCCATACCCTGAAGTACCACATCAGCAACAGAATCCGCAACAACGTTGGGATCATCCGGCGAGAAGCAAACCCGCCCCCCAAGGGTAGGATGCAAAGAAAGACCGCATCCCATCCCAATCGGCTGACCTATAGTGCCAAACACGGCGGCAGCCTGCAGAATGCAACCGCGATTTCAGCGTGAGTGGCACCACACTCCGGACCAGACAATGGTCCGAGGAGCCTAAAGGGGCGTCGACGGAAATCTGATATCCGTCCGGGTGAGAGGTCAGCAGAAGGTCCAACAGGGAAGGTGCATGATCCTCCACATCTGGAATCCGCGTAGGTGAAGTAACCAGTTGTGTCAGACCGTATGCCAAGGCAAAATCCTGAACAGATCTCCCCGCATGATCGGTTAAACGTGAACCAAGCCATTCGGCGTGATGGGCGTTAAAGTCGCCGAGGATCACGATCTCTGCGGAGGGGATCTGCTGTAGCAACGAATCTGCAGCCATTTGGACGTGGTCGAATAGTCGGTCTGTTTCGGCATTACCGCTATGGGACCTATAGAGGCACCCGTAGACGCGCGGATGGTCGTCGCTGTCTACGCGTAGCCAAAGGATGGACAGGTCCGAACCTTCAAGTCTGCCGAGGCGTCGAGAGCAGATGTCCTCTCTGACGTAAACGCAAACCCCAGCCCGAGGCACAAAGGAGTGTTCCAGTTTGTACCCCGGGTAGGAGAGATACGAGACATCAGCCGGAGAGGACACCTGCGTCTCGGTCAGAAAGAGCAGAGCCGGCCTCGCCGTCTCGAGATGGTAGTGGGCGGCGTTTAGGTTAGAGTGAAGTCCCCTGATATTGCAGAAATTCACGGACAGCGTGGCAGGGGTCGCCTTGGTCTTGTTGCTCCGTTTGCCCCGAGCAGTTGTAGTCTTGAGCGGAATTTTGCCCCCCCCCCCCCAGAATACGCGGGGCAGCCTGAGCACCCACGCTCAGAAGTGGAGAAACATGGTCGTGGATGCTCAGCGAGGGATTCTCCAGGGGTGCTGGTACCCTCCTGGGGTAGTCGATCATTATTTAATTCCGCTACCATGTTGATGGGGGGGGGGGGGATTTGGGCCTCCGGCCACCTGCACTCACCAGACGAAACGCGGAAGCAGAGCTTCCATTTCACGCCGGTATTCTGTGAGGTCGTGGTACCACCCCGGTTTGAGCCGGCCCATACGTGCAACAGCAAAGCTGCCGCGTGGCTCTACCACTGTTAAAACTATTTTATTATACAATGTTTGACTTTGGTGGTTGTTAGCCGTGCACATAAAGATTGTTTTATTGTGTGTAAGCCTCGGGAGCGATCAGTCACAATCGCGAGTCGAACAAATCGCAGTTACACACACAATCGTGCCTGTCGGTACACGTCATTACTATAATCAAGGCGAGACCTTCATCGTGAAATAGAATAACTATAGTTATTTTATTTCACGATGAAGGTTTCGCCTTGATTATACCGTAGGCACACCCTGGGCTATCTTGTGCCTACATTGCTGAACAGCTTTCTCTACAAGTTGTAAATGGACATCAATCCGGAAAATATTAAGTGAAAACTCAAAATAGATTTCTTGCAATAATAATTAACTGTTATGTGTACGTAATTGAATACCGGATTTAATTGTTTGTGTTACACTTATACCGGCTTTGACAGATGACTTTCAAGATTCTATCAATGCAGTTCTACTCATAGTTAAAATAAAAATAGACCTGTGTTTAAAATTTTCTTTCAGAACAACTGGCTGACGGATCGCAATCGCAAGTACAGCTAGCACAAACAAACACCGATTTTTTTTTAATGTTTCTTATAGGCAATAATGATTTTTGTAGAGCTAAATTGTTAGATATACGATGGGTCGAAAGGCAAGTCTTCAAAACTGATGTGCGATTTCTAATGATCTTGGAATGTCCCTAATTTCGGCACCTTCCTAACATGAAATGCGGTAAGATATGAAAAAAAGGCAAAGTGCGTATATTATTACTCGGTTCGGTGATTTACGGACTCTCATCAATTTTATTGCGCTATTGATTTTATTGGAATTTGAGGTTTTGATATTGAAGACTTTTTTAACAAATAAGGATGTGCCCTCGGAGCCAATCATATCTGCTATTAAAGCCACTTGGTACGAATGGCGTACTGGCATCTATAGCCAGACCCTCGCCATAATATCTTCATTTAATCTCTCTCCACAAGTATTCAATTCAAGGAAACCAGCTAATAATTTTACATAGTCTTTTATTAACGTAAAAACATTTTAATGTAAATCATCTCAACTACAATTGTTTAACAAAAACACATATTAATAATAGTTAAAGGAAAAAAAATTAACCTAACCTCTATAACAAATGAAACAATAACTATTCTTACTTTGTAGAAAAAAAAGCATTTGCATACACATATTCTATAGTTAGTCTATTTTTGGGATGTAAAACCAACATTTTCTCAATTAATCTACTGAATAATACCAGTTTAGATGCTGCATTTATCATTCCTTCCAAGTCATTTGAGAATGCATTAAAAATTGAAGTAGTTATTGTAGTACTGCGCTTAGTAAAATTATTTATCCTGATTTCATTCTGTAATAATATGTGATAAGTTAATAAGCAATAAGACACCAATATATATTGTATAGCTTTTAACTCTTCTAATTCAATTATACAATAGATAAATATTATTAATTATCAAAACATTAATAGATGTCTATCGCTGTATGGCCCAGACCATTCGACTATGAGAATAGTACGAGTTTAACTGACGTATGAAGTAAATACTGACGTATTGAAGTAAATTTACCACGTGGTGATTGTGTGAGGTGAGTTGAATGTGGAGTTGTTGATGGGCATGTTTTTATACAAGTATAAAAGAGCGAAAAACGAGTACACAGTTCAGTGGTTCCTCTTTTTCACAATCGGAAAACCAGACGCCGGCAGGTCCTTAGTTGTTACATTCCACGAGTTCAATCTAAACGGTTCATAATACATACAGTAAAGAAGTGATATAGTTTGCTAATGTTGGACCTTCCCTCCGATTACTACCCGAGTGTGAAAAAAAGATTTATCGTCTTGGATTTCATCACAACTTACCATCAGATAGGATTGTAGTCAAGTGTTGGATTATAATAAGTAATAAAAAAACTGATATACACTATTTTGGCGCAATAAAATAATACCTAATCATATATATTCTACGATAAGAAAATAGGACTCACCCTTGCACCAGAACCTGTTATTTTTATAAAAGCTGTTCCATTGAAATGTTCATTTTTAAATCTGGACCACTGAATCATATCATCTGGTAGTCTTCCAAGTATGCTCATTTGTTTGAATAAAATGTTATTGTTGGTTGTTCCCGGAAAAAGCATGGATTTTGTTGCCATTTCATACATCACCAAAGCTGTAGACCAGACATCGATACTGAATCTATTTGAATATCCCAAAATTAATTCCGGTGGTCGGTAATTTAGCGTCCCAGCATTTGCAGACAAATTATTGGAGTAAGAGTAATAATATGCTTCATCAAATCCACACAGTTTAAGTTTGGTTATTGTAATGTCAAAAAGGATGTGACTGGGTTTAATATCTGCAATAATGTAACATAAAATTAGTTTTCATTTCATAAATAACACTGGTCGGCAAAAAAAAAATCCGGGAGCAAAAAGTTTACTATGTGATTTCTATTGGCTTTGATTTGTTGAGTCCAAATCTGTTTAAAGATTTCAACTATCACCTCTAGCTTTTCAGATATTTACATTTAAATAAATGATCGGTATTGATATATATATTAAATATGTATATATTTTAGAACGAAAAAATTTACACTGATTGATGACTTTTACAACACAAATTAAAATGAAATATGAATTAAAAAATATAAAAAAAAAAACATAAAAATGATAACTATTGGGTAGATCGCTTTCTTTTATACATTTTAACTGCGGTTTCTCGATTTATTTCCCAGCAAAAATCAGCTAGCATTGCTGGGGTCCACTTGCCGCTGTATCTTTTTTCCATATGTGCAATGTCTTGGTGGAATCTTTCACCATGCTCATCAGACACGGCACCAAGATTTTCTGGGAAAAAATCTAAATGCGAATGCAAGAAGTGAATTTTTAAAGACATATTGCATCCAAGTTGATGATACGACGAAAGCAGTTCTTCTATCAGCTCACGTACGTCGCTCACTTGTTCAAAACAATCACTGCGTTCGCGCTTCGCGCATGTCAGTTAGTTAGAGCAGTAAACAATAGCTTGTTGTTTCTTTCTAACATAGAGACAGACTCAGAACACAACTAAATACATGTACATACCAACGTTCACAAATACCGCTGCCTGCAACTATAAGCAAACAATTCTAGTGCAAACAAAAATGCTATTGCGTCGCAACTAGACGTGCTAGGTGAATTCTAACTACATATTTGGATTTAACGTAACTAACGTAATAACTTCCATATATACATTTTTTTGCTCTTATTTTGATGCCGACCAGTGTAATTGCTAAATCAATGACATCTTAATATTATACGACACTATTGTTCTTTACCGCAGTGCACAATATTATTGTTCCTCAATAATACTACAGCAGCCACTAACTGTATTCCTAGTTGACGTATTTGATCTATATTAAATTTCTTTCTTGGATCTTGTAGAACTTGTTGCAAATTCAAAGGGTAGTAATCTGTCACATAACACCAGTAATTTTTTACGTTGAAACTGGTGATCAAGTAAATACATGGTAAGTTTTCTGATGCGATATCTTTTTGTATTTGTTTAAGCATTTTCTTACACTTTTTTTCCTTCGAGTAACAATCAAGTTGTCTGCTGCAAGAAAATTGTATTATTTATATACTTGAATCTATGTGTGAAAAGGTAAATGTTAAAGATAATGCCTACTTAAAAAATTTCACGGCGTAATTTTGTCCATTTGATTTTGTAAATTTAAATATTTTCGAAAATTTACCAGAATGGGTTATAGTAATTTCTGAATAATTTTCCTTAAAATTATCACACATTTTGCCCTTTAATTTTTGAGCTACAATTTCATCAAATTTGGTAAATAACTTATTTATTAATATATTGCATTCTTGTTTATTATACGGATGTTTATTCTTTATTTTGCAATCATTTTCACGCTTATCATTGTTGTCTATTTTAACATCTTTGACAATTTTTTCACAACTATTATAGTTTAAGTCTGTTTTGGTCTGTATTGTAGTACTAGTTGTTGTTGGCCCAATTGTGTCCTTGTATTCAATAATTCTGTCATCAGTTTCACATTTTAAGGTTTTTGACTGGTTTAAAAATTCATAACTATGATTGTTACCTTGTGATAAATTACTGTCTGTAGTATTTTGTTTAGTGTTTTGGTTTACCCCATTTTCGCTTCTGTAAAAACAAATTTATGCTAATATTATTCCAAATTTTAACTGTACTTAAATACTTTAATCTTACCTTGTATTAGTGCGATCTACACTACTTTCAGGTTTTGCAGCCTTTGATAACTCCTCCTTCGTTACCTTGAATATTTTTGGTTGCTTTAAATTATCTACCATATTTTTTTCAATACTAATTGTGGTTTTAATAACGCAAGAGTTATTGTTTTGTTCTAGTTTGTTATTTATGTTGCCTTTACTTTTTTGATCGTTGATCATTACATCGGAATCAAATTCATTTTCTTTGTCACTTTTACAAGATGTTAAACTCTCTACAATTTCATCTATATTGAAATCATCCAAAAAACTAAGGTCTTCATTATATGAATTCTCTAACTTGCGTACCACTATCACTATCACTATCACTTTCATTATTACTTTGTTCTTGTAAAGTATGTGTATTATTGTATGTTACATTAATAACAATTTTAATTTTTTTCGGTATTTTTATTTTGTTATTATTGCATTTCTCAATCTTAGTACACATTTTTTGTAAATTAGTATGTCGCTGCCTAGTTAATTTAGTTTTGTCTATTGATTTTGTGAAAATATTTTTATCAGCATATGTAAATGTATTTTCATGATCGACATCTTTAACGATACATTCATTTAAATTTTTGTTTAATTTACTAGAAATTGTATGTGTTACCAAATGATTTATTGTTTTATTTTCGTTTGTATATTCATCATACTCTTGTTCAGTTTTACTGGATGTTATGGTCGGTATTAAATACTTTAGATTATCTTTTTGTTTGGATATAGTCTTTCTATCCTTAGAGTAATCATTTTGTTCTTCCGATTTATAGGTGATTGTAGTTGCGTACTTGTTTTTGTTGTTTACAACATTTATGTTCATATCATTCTTATTTTTTGTAACATTACCCGCAGACGTATTCTCCTCTGATAGGGAATTTTCAAAGTTAAGGTTTATTCTTTTAACGCTATGATTATTTAACTCTTTTTGTAAATTATTTATAATCATAAAAGAAGTATCTGTCTGAGGTGTTATTTTATTTGGTACTCCAATAGTACAACTTTCATAGTTTTTAGTGTTATAAGTTTTATTTAGGGTATTATTACCATCTAAACATACAATATTGGAATTATTTGAACATAATATATCCGTTTTAACAATATTACAGGCAATATTTTTTGTTATACTTTTATTTGTTTGTTTTTCGATTTTAGTTAAAGTCTGTAAAAATATTTTAAACTTTACTTTTATCTATAAACTATCAAAATTTACTTTATATAAATTAAATACATAAGACAGAACTCAATAACAGCCGTTTCAAGTTCACAGCTGGATCACACCTCTGAAGGTTGCACTATTTTTTTTCATTCATCACAGCTTTTCGTAAGAACACTGCTGAGCATAGACTCTTTAAAAATTATGATCCTGTGCCATCCACATCCAGTGACTGCCTGCATGTTTCATCAGGTCCTCACTCCACTTAAGGCTATGAGAAGTCGTCTAACACTGTGCGAGTACGACGCTGCCACTCGAGAATTTTTCTTTCACAGTTGTTAGTTTTCTTAAGCTATATCACTCAACATATTGCTATATTACAATTATAATAGCAGCATATTGTTACGGTGTTGCTTATGGAAAGATTTTAATGATTCTTTGTACTGGTAATTCAATCATAGTTCTCAGAGATGACAATGCATCTACATTTTGATCCTTATATATATATATAGTGTGTGTGTGTGCATGTGCGTGTGTGTGTGTCTGTGCATGTGTGTGTAGGCCATAGAATACTTAGCATCAGGTGGACTATGTGCTTGCTTCACCCTTACTTCTATAAAAATGTCATATTTTTTTTGTTAGAACGAAATATACTCTTACAATATACTCTATACTCTCAGGTAGGCTAATCAAGTAGCCAGAGATATGTGTACAAACACAAAATAATCAAATCTGCACACCAATAATTTGCATTTTTTGATAATAAAAAAAAAAAATTTTTTTTATTTTTTTGGTTTTGGTTTTTTTATTTTTTTTGTTTTTTTTTATCTCTGCTATAAGTAGCTATCTAACAATAAAAATTTAATAAATTCACATTTCATAACTTCCTACTAAAGTCCTTCGGTAATAAAGAAGAAATATATTCGAAATATTTTGTTGGTCATTTAGCGTCTATCCACGCAACAATTATAGTAGGAACGACGTTTTGCCATATTAAAATTTATTAAATAATGTGTACATGCTATATAGTTCTTAAATTACATTAAAACTTTTGAACTATTTTATCCTATAATTAAATATACTAAACCTTAGTACCTTTAAATATATGACTTTTAAAAATTAAATATTTTATAATTTGTTTTTAATTTAAATAATTTAATAAAAAATATTGATTTGTGGTTTTAAAAATATGAGGAATCATTTTAAATTATTGAACTTTTATACTTTATATAGGTAAAGGTTTTAAGTTATATAACCTAATAATATTCTAAATTATAAAAAAGTTATTTATTTAAGCCTTAGTATTATATAATTTACTCATTAAAATTTGCAATTTTATATCTTTATTGACAATTTTGAAAATATATCTTGGTAAACTATAATTTAATTGATATGATTTAATATAAAATAATTTAATAAGTACATACTTTATATCTATAAGATTGAATTATAGTAATATGTAGGGTATCACTGGAATTTACATCCAGAAGCTTATTTATGGACATTGTTTTTAGGGTAAGTAATATAGGTTTGAACAGTTAAGTAAAGTAGTATTATATCACTTGCACATTGAACATCAAGCCTTAAGTGTAACATGTAACCCAGATAAGTTCCTAATTTATAAGTAAAAGGAAACATACCTCTTTAGAAGAATCCCTTGTTGCTTGCTTAATACTCGTTGGACAGGTAATACGAGTAGAAGGTAAGGACTGGGTTTCATTTAAACCTTCCAACTTACTGCTATTAATATTTTGTACCTTCTGCTGCATCTGATCTTTTAGGAGTGAGCTAATAATATTCTTACTTTTTACTGGTTCATTTTTATCAACAGTTTCACCATCGTTCTTTATTTTCTTTGAAGGTGATTGATTTGTAGGCGAGCTTGTGGGAACTATCACAATATTGGGACTTTGGTATTGTGAAAAATATCTTTTTCTTTGCATCATTACGAATACTAAAAATTATGAAAAGAAGTCAGAAACTTCATTCATTCAAGTTATTATTACAATTTTTTTAAACACAATTTTTGTTTAGTTTATTAAACTTTAAATAGCTAATAAATAAAAAACTAATAAATTACGTGTAATAAATTTACAATAAAATAAACTTATGTACCTATTTACGTTATTAGTTAATTATAACCATTTAATTATTTACTGAATTTGTGAATTTGAAAATCAACCACGAGTATATTTCACTATATTTATACAAAATTGTAATACTATAACAATCACAATATAATTATATCTAGAAAGAAAAATTCACTGCAAATCATACGGAGTACCTATTTTTATGGTAACTATCATTAATTAAACTTTAAATAGGCAATAAATAAAATACTAATCAATTACGTGTAATAAATTTACAATAAAATAAACTTATGTACCTAATTACACTATTGGTTAATTATAACCATTTAAGCATTTACCTACCTTGTTATTATGTTGTTTAAATATATAACTTATTCGTGAATTTGCAAACCAACCACGAGTATGATATTTCACTGTATTTATACGAAATTCTAATACTATAACAATAATCACTATATAATTATATCTAGAAAGAAAAATTCACTGCAAAACGATAAAAATCAGTAAACAATCACACGGAGTATTTTATTGTAACTATCATTTATTTCCATTTGTCACCTTTGACATAATACGTTTGGGGTATTATTAAAAATAAAAGCACGGTCGTAAAAAAAGGGTACTTCCAACTAATTACCTACTTCCAAAGAGTAATTATAGGACACGCACAGCTTGTATAAATGATGTCTGTGAGAGGATAGTATAAGCAGGGTTTTTTTATGTAGCAAACTAAGAATGTTTAAAATTAGCATAACCTAGTAGGGTGATTTTTAATTGGTGTTTAATGAGTATTAGTCAATTTTTATTTTATTTTGGACTTCTAGATGATAGAATGGAAAATTTAAAACTTACGTATGGAATGGAATCACCTGACACTTTATTGTACGAACTGATTCTGAGTTTTAGAGCCGGCAGTTTCTATTAATTTTATTTATTTATACTTCCATGCACAACAAAGTAGTACGGATTTAATTAATATAATGTGATCAAAATAATGTAAGCAAGCAAATGATCCCACGGGTGTGTAAAGGTGAACTCGCTCCCACGTAGGTATAAAATTCAGCTTACACGGCAATCCCCTCTCCTACAAATTCAGACATTACGCTAGTAGATACAGAACAATAGGGCACAAAAGATGGGTTTATACCGATATTTGTCAGTATTAGTTAATATGAATATATTCGTCAAGTGATATTATAATATTTCGATTAATATATGAATATGACTGATATTTTAATACGACGGTTATACGTATTACCATTTTATTCATGTAGGTATTAAGTTTATAGTTATAAGTTTATATGGTACCAACTATATATATTATATGCTTTGATAAATATTAATGGTGTTATTAAATAAATGCTATTATAGTATAAAAATATTATTAAAAGTGATTTTAAGTGACTATACTTACTAAAAATAAATTCCACTGCACAAAACAAGGACCCTTGTTTTGTTAGTTTAAATTAATTTTAATGATGATTTACGATACCTAAAAATACGTGAACACATTTTAATGAAAGTCGATATGATCTTAACAAGAATTATGGGAAAATACCTACCATGACAATAAAACTAATATATCCCCAATAATTTTATTAAAATATATAAGCTGAAATATACACTATTAAAAACACCACTAGAGAGTCAAGACCAAAGATGTTTTAAAGACAATTTTAGACATCTATAAAGAGTTGTTGTATTTGTAAAATATCCAATTGAAAATAGTCCCTAAGATTTAAACAATAGAGAACTAATATCGGTTATTTCATTATTATCGAAAATATCGGTTAATTCATTCGGCTCGCTCGCTCGCACCGCCCGCCATACTTACGATAAGAATGGTACAGATATCGATCAAATCTCGGAAACGGCTCCAACGATTTTCATGAAATTCAGTATTCAGGGGGTTTGGGGGGCAATAAATCGATCTAGCTAGGATTCATTTTTAGAAAATGTTGTTTTATCCATGTTTTCAGGCAATGAAAAACTGCTACAATATCATTAGAATACGAAGGTAAATTTTGCCAATGCCTACAAGGCACAGCACAAATGGGATATTGGGCGGTCTCGAAATCATAGGACGCCGGTTCGAGCCCAGATGTCTCCAGCCCGACATCTCTTTACTTTTTTTCCAAGTTCCTTCTTTTATGAATATATATATATATATATATATATATATATATATATATATATATATATATATATATATATATATATATTATTTGGAGCCCTTTTCTTAGTATATTTTTATAAAACACGAAAAATAATGACCGAGAAGATCGAAAAAATTTATTCATATTTCATCAGTATGTAATTTGTATTTAAATATAATTTCAAAAAAAACAATTTACAAAAAAAAAAGATACCGAGCAAAGCTCGGTCATCCAGGTATATAGTATCTAATACATACAAATATTATCTATGTCAGAACAAATTTGAAATAAATACGAAAATAAGAGGTGTGTTAGTTCAAAGATGCAACGATTTTTTCCAATGCTTAGGGAAATAATTTTTATAAACCAACTTGTTAGGGGGCTATTTAATGTCAAGAGGGATGTCGTTCCAGATTTTGATGGCTTTTTACCTGTAGGCAAGGAATATTACTACTACTCGTTAACTAGAGCTTGTGGGCTTAGTGGTCGTGAATTCTCCTCAGTTGAGTACGTTGAATCTATTCCCAGCGACAACCAAAATTTGTTTAAACACATTTTTTGTGACCTTAGTCACTTAGTCTGTCCTTTAGTTTATAATATTTGTTGTATCGGCCAGGAAGCATATTCAATTCCCGTTGGTAACGACTTAACGACAATATTAATATGCTTGCAAGGTTGCCAAAATAGAAGATAAAATTTTAATCGAACTTTTAAGACGACATTGATAAATAAAAACTAAGCCGACTACAAACAACTTAAAAAACATCACATCCTGAAGGCTAGGGCTTTTCAATACAATATGTCTAAACACCAACTTCAGAAGTGAAATTATTTTATTCTTTTTAGTTGTTTGGATTCTGCTTTTTATTAAAAGCAATTTTTTTTTTAAAGTAAACTTTTTATACTTATGTACTATTTACATTGATTATTTTACTTTAGCCTACCATTATCTTGATTCCTACAACGCGTCGATATAAAACGAGTCAGTGATTCGATCTAAATTCCATAGTTTAAAAGTGAAAGGATGATATAACAACACCTTCCACGTAGTAAGTAGTAACGAACGAATGGTGGCGATGGCGAGGTGTGTATAGAAACGAGAGTTTCAAAACGGGTTATAATTTTATTCATAGAGTATAGTTTATAAATTTTAGTTTTATAAATTTTACTTTTAATAAAAAAATATTAGGCAAATCCGAAGATCTAAAAGGAATAAAATAATCAATAAAACTAATTTTTTACACTATGTTTTAGCAGTTGAAATTGTTATATTTTTTAGTTTTCGATTAGTGGGACTTAACTTTTCAAAAGTTAATTTTTTTATCCTCTTAAGTAGACTAAGTAAACACTAAGCTCAAGGTATGTATACACAATTAACATTTCGTTTTAATTACTTTCATTAAAATTTCGCGTTTTGTTTTATTGTTTTTTTATTTATGTTTTCTTTTTGTATTACATACAAAAAGAACATAATAATAGTAGAATTGAGAACCTCGCAGTCCATCTGATCGTAAGATATATTTAAATATATGTATGTATATTTCACTTGAATTTCTTGTACTTTTATTTATTCTGTGCTTGAATGTTGTTCTTTTTATTCTAAAATGAAGGTGATTATTAGCTATTATAAATGAAGTCAGTTCAACTGATCAATTCAAACTAGGACTGTTAAATATTTTTTAAATATCCGATTTTCGACATATCGATAATTATAAACATGTCAATATCGGAGTTTTATATATAAGTTTATTTATCGATATATCGAAAATCCGATATTTAAAAAAATATCGGCAGTCCTAGTTTGAACTGATCAGTTGGAATGATCAGTTGAACGGACCGTGTGTGTCTTTAATGTCTTTAATATTTTAGAAAGCTCTCAGTTAGTTACGCGGGCATGTATTTCGCGAAATTGATGATATTGTGACTATGGTATTCTGTGATATATCTAGTAACTATCTGAGAGATGCTCTCTAATTTAAGTTATTTATTATTATTACTAAGGGAGATTCAAGGACGTAATTTCTTTTTGCTTAAGTTTCTTGTTGGTTTGTTTTCTTAAAATATTTCCAATTGAAATAAGTTCATTAAAATTAAAACTTTTTTACATTCGACATACCTATTATATTGGTAAAGATCGTTTGGCTTAGCGTAGTACCGGAAAACGATTGTTGATTTAATCTTTGATAACGACTTTTATATCAAATATAGTATTTTAGAGGTCTATTTTAACCTGTAAAACTAAAGTAGAATGGCTTGAAAAATTTTTTTTTTTTTTTTTTTTTAATTTTTCTGGAATTTTGGGTACAAATAACCCACCTGCTTATAGTACGTTACAAATTATAATTTTATTTTTAAATAAATATGTTTTCAGCTTCATAACTATTAAAACATCCGTAATACCCAAATAATATTGTATTATAATATTATGTCGAAAAAGAGATGTCTAGCTAGCAAAAAATAGTAGAAAATAGGTAGAAAGGCTAATTTTATTCTTGGCAGGTCTAAAAAAGGTGCTTATGTTAAATTTTCTAACTGTTTTTTTTTTTGTTTAAAAGTGGTTAATATACATTTTTTATAGAATAAGGGTGACAAACGAGCACGCAGTCCACCTGATGGTAAGTGGATGCTGTGGCCCATAGACATCTACATTTAATCTCGATTAAGAATCAAAATGCAGTTGCGTTGTCACCCCTGAGGACT